TTCAAATTTCTTCTACTTTTGGTTGTCTTGACCCAGGGGCGCTGTTCCTGGCATGGGCATTTAAGCTCCCTTCCAGGGGCGCTCTTGCTCTAGCCTGGCCAGCTGAGTGTGCTCTGCGGGCTGGTGGAGCTCTCAACAGGGTCTGGGGATTCCCACCAGCTCTGGTCTCCTTTGAGGGATACACTGTCCCCTGCGGGGTACTCACCCTGGAGCTAGTTGTTTCTGTGTGATGTAAGTCGTCGGTTGCTGTTGCAATCAGAGTTCAGTTGGGGTGGTTGCGGGCTAGGCTGAGCGGTGGTGGCTCTGTGTGATTCTCTTCTGTCTGTGCCTTGGTTGGGTCCATGCCGCAGGATGGGCCTCTGGCCTCTGCCGGAGGGGTGGGGGCGGGGCCTCCGTACAGGTTCTGAGAGCTGGGGTTTGTCTCTGCACTCTCCGGATCAACACCAGTTCCTTGCAGGTCTTCTGCTCTAGTGTTCTGTGGGCTCCTGTGTAGCTCTGGGGCTCCTGTCATGGGGCTGAGTTCCGGGCTTGGGGGTTTCTCCGTTGGTCACAATCGGCGGGTCTGACACTGGTACCTCAGGTGGCTTCTGTGCGGGTTATCTGCAGACAACTCCCTGTTCTCTGGAACTCCAGCCATCATATACTTGTGATATTAAAATTATTTCAAATTAGTCTATTTTGCCAACTTATACTATCAAAATAGGCAAGGAATTTTAGTTCAATATGACTATAGGTAGCATAAAATCTAGCATTAAACTAGGCAGGCAGCATTGATGTATGCCTGTAATCTTAACCAAGATTACAGAAATCTGAGATCTGGAAGAATGCAGTTCAAAGCCAGCCCAGTTAGAAAAATCCAAAAGCTGCCATTTCCAATTAACTAGCAAAATTCCAAACTGGAGGCATGGCTCAAGTGCTAGAGTACCAGCTATGAGAAAGAAAGCCTTGAAGAACATGAGTCCTGAGTTCAAGGCCTGGTATACACACACACACACACACACAATGTTGTTACAGTATTTTTTAAAAGCATATAGGGACTAAATGAATGACTAATGAATGACTAAAACTAAATGAGCAGGTAAGTATATGTTAGAATTTGTATCAGTCAGATTGCAAAGCATACTGCATACTGCTCTTTTTTTCATTCCCTTTACCATTATTTCTTTTTTAAAAAATAATTTTTTTAATTGTAAAGGTTATGTACAGAGTGGCTACAGTTACATAAATAAGGTAACTGTTACTTCTCCTATTTATCATCTTTAAATAGGTTTCATTTCTATGGATTTTACTAATTTTGCCTCTCACAGTTTCTCAGACATTTTGACTATAAACTCTAATTATTGCAATATAGTTTTATACCTAGTTCTGTTTTATCATCTGTGTTGCTTTGACAAAAGGGATTGCACCCTATCTTTCTATGACAGCCATGGTATGGTTCACTGAGTAGCAAATGTTTAATAAATAAACACAAGCCGAGTTTTTGTTATTAAGAGAATACAGGGGCTGGGATGGTGGCTCAGTGGTAGAGCGCTTGCCTTGCATGCATGAGGCCCTGGGTTCAATTCCTCAGTACCACATAAGCAGAAAAAGCCGGAAGGGGTGCTGTGGCTCAAGTGATAGAGTGCTAGCCTTGAGCTGAAGAGCTGAGGGACAGCGCCCAGGCCCAGAGTTCAGGCCCCACGACCAGACCCCCCCCCCCCAAAAAAAAAGAGAATACAAATTAAACATTTTAGAACATCATTTTTCTCTGGATGTACATGTATTTTATGTGTACCATATCACCTATAGTCTCATAATTGAAGGTATTTGAAATAAAACCTTTTAGACCTTTATTCCCCAGTATTAAAACAATAAACACATATTAATAAAACACAAACATACTTTCTGGATAAATAGTTGTTAAGTTACATCCCCAATCTTTGGGACAATGTATTTTTTTTTGTAATTTTTTTTATTGAAAATTAAGTGATTACATAAATTTCACAAATTTCACAGTATTGTGAGATAGTGATATTTAGTTTAAGTCTCAAACACATTTTAACCTTCACGAGGCAGATTCTCATTATCATGGTCTATAAAGTTTGTGAATTCTATGAGCTTTGACAACTCAACTATTTCTTCCACATTGAACGATATGTACATTTCTTTCCTTTTATTTAGTATATGCTATTCCTTCTTTCCCTCTCATTCCTTTTCTCCCATTGCTGCCCTTGAGTTGCTTAGTTCATTTTCATCAATGTCCAGTACAGTGATGGGCCCCACTGGTGTATATTTTCCCGTTTCCCTCTTCTGGGGACAATGTATTCTTGAAGAACAGTTACAAGAATAGTAACACTTTTAGGCTGGGAATGTGGCTTAGTGGTAGAGTGCTTGCCTAGCATGCATGAAGCCCTGGGTTCAATTCCACAGCACCACATAAATAGGAAAGGCTGGAAATGGCATTGTGGCTCAAGTGGTAAAGTGCTAGCCTTGAGCAAAAGAAGCTCAGGATAGTGCTCTGAGTTCAAACCCCAGGACTAGCAGAAAAAAAAAGAATAATAATACTTTAGAATTTACAAAGTAAAAGTCAACCTTTATAATAAAAAATTGTATACATAAAATGAAATTATTTCCATTTAGTACTCATTTACATTATATCAATTCCTTTTCTCTTCCTTGTTAATATTTATTCAGTTTAGTGAGTGTTTAAAGAACAGCTTTAGGAAGTGACCAGCAAACACTGTTTTGTGGGGAGTTTTTGTTTTGTTTTTTGTTTTTCTTTTGCCTGTTCGGGGGCTTGAACTCAGGGCTTGGGCACTGTCTGTGAGCTCCATTTGCTCAAAGCTACCACTCTACCACCTGAGCTACATCACCATTTCCAACTTTTTCTGTTTATGTGTTGCTAAGGAACCAAACCCAGGGCTTCATATGTGCTAGTCAAGCACTCTACCACTAAGCCACATATCCAGCCCTGTTTTGTGTTTATGTTTGATGGTCCTCATTTGAAATGGTTATCTACTAACTCAAGCTGTCTTTTAATGTTACTCTAGGGCATTTATCATAATCTAATAAAAATGTGGATAGGTTTTATCTCTTCCAGGAATTTCAGTCATTTGTTGTCATTTTAGATTTATTAATCCATGAAGAATATGACTCATTAAGTGTGGAAATCTTTGATAAATAATCATCACATTTTTATTATTTCTAAGGATTACAGAAACCAACCTACTTTTATTTTTTTGCTTTGTTATAAATGAAGTTTTTCAAGAGCATATAGATCTTATGCATATAAATAGTTCCCTTTGGATATGCGCATTCCACTGACAACTAATACTTGGTTATATTGTACTTGTTAGAAACCAAGTAAGCTCTAAAGAGAATTAAAAATGCAATTTTTGACCCCCATGAGGCGCAGAGAAAGACTATACTTGGTATAATACCCAGAAAACCATTCCAATAAAATTTATTTCTGCATTTATTCAGTGAGTAAATTCTTGAGTGTCAACTATGTACCCAACCCTTATTTTGGGAACTTGGAAATTACTATTAAACCTGACAACATATTCTGGCCTTTATGTAGCATATTCTAGTTGAGGAAACAGACAAACCAAAATACAAGATAAATAAAACAAATGATAGGTGGATACTGACAAGTGCAATGGAGAGAACTAAGGCAAGGAAATAGAATAGGGAGTTTAGGGAAGGATAGTTTTGAGTAGATGTGTCATCAAAGACTTGTCAACAGGAAGGAAATACTTGAATGAAGATCTCCAGGAGGTGGCCCTAGTTAGTAGGCCCTAGTTGTTAGTATTCCCTAGTTGTTGTTATATAACAAGTCCATAGACTTGTAGGTGAAAGCTCCCTGATTGTGAAGAGAATCAAGGAAGCAAAAGAGGGCTATAGTTGATGGAAAATGATTATTAATTGACTACAGATGATGGTGGCTCATGGTATTGTGGTAGCAGTGGAGGAAATTTAGAAACTAGGATTGTTCATAGTTAGAAACGAACAATGCAAAAGGAGAATCAAATGAATGGTTAGGGTTACCATTAATAGAGAGTGCTGCAGGGGAAGTGGTTTAGGGAGAAGGATCAGAGCTATATTTTGAATATATTCAAGATGTCTTTTGACATTATAAGTAGCAATGTCAAATAGGCAGCAATTTATAGCATTTGGGGAAAAGGATAGCAGAAGAAATAAATATGTCTGATAGATTGGGGAAACACTAAAAAAGAAAAGACTTCAGGGAGAAAAATAAATTTTCAGCTGGAACTTCAGTTTGTATAAAGGGGATTCTAGTTAGGAAAAAGGTCCTAGAATCTTAGAATATGTAGACAACTCTTGATGTTTTATTTCTCTGCTCTTTCTTTCCTTGTTTGATTCATAAATGAGAATAATACTTAAGTTTTATCAGTGTTTAGTTGTTGAAACATAGATGTTAAGCCTTTTTTTATTGTGGTAAAAATCTAAAACCATTTTAACCATGTATAAACATATAGTTGAAAGGCATTAAGCACATTCTGAAAGTTAGTTTTATGTGTAAAAAGTTTTTTTCAAAATGTAAATATTGTTGTTTATGAACAAAAACAATTTAGAGCTTATTTGTGGTTTGCTTCCAAGAGTACTGAGCATTTTATTTTCGTAATATTAAAAGATTTGGCCATGCAGAAAAAATAATTTAGGCCTCATTTCTAAAACTACTTTTTTCCACTTTTAGGAACTGACTTTCCATTTAAGCAAGTGTCATTTTAGCTGTTTGAGTCACTACTTAGAAATAATTTGCATATCTTATTCATCTTTGATACCTCACTCAAAAGGGACATGCTCAAAACCATAGTACATATCTTGAGTTTAAGAAGCTTTTCAAAAATGAAATAAGTAGTTCTTGCTTTATCAATTCTTTACATGATATTTATAAAGAAGATTTTTGTAAATCATCTGCCTGATGTATGCTAAGAACATCTTTATGAACTGTGAACGTGGGAAATTCTGTCTGTTCATTATAATGTCACTTTTTCTAGGGAACAAAGAAGGAAGAGATTGATGGTGAAGAAGTGTCTGGTTTAATTCAGCCTGCAGAAGTGTTTGCTCCCAAAAGCCTGGTGTTGGTATCCAGATTAGATTATCCAGAAATTTTTAGGGTAAAGAACTCATATATCACTGTTAATTAGTATTATTTTATAACTGTTTTGAGTGAATCATGATGATAAGTTTTTTGTATTGAAAATATCATTATAGTGATTCATCAATAAAATTAGTTTGAACAGAAGAAATAAATTCATGTTGAATGAATGTTATACTTGAGTAAGTTAATGATACTGTTTACACATTCAAGGTTATAGTATTCTTTTAAAATAGGTCTAATATTAATTGAACAAACTTTATAAATAATTATAAAAAATAATTTTGTTATCTTCTGCAAATTAAAAAGGAAATTAATAATTTAACAGCCTTAATATTTATTGACCTTATGTAATCAGTCTGAAGTAAGTAGGAGTAATTGATATTTCATGTAATTCTTATAATTATTTGAACAATAATTTAAAAGTCTCATGTATAACACTCATAAAAATGATCATAATTCAAATAATTTTCATAATACTGTCAACATATCTTTAAAATTGTTTATAGGCTAGATATGGTGGTACATTATTGTAATTCTAATGGAGACAAGCAGGAGGGTCTCAAGATCAAGACAGTCTTAAGCTACAAAGCCAAGACCATGTTTAAAAAAAAAGAATATGCGTGTATATATATGTATGAAGAGAAAAAATTATTCTAGCTTTTTTCTTTGGATACTCAGAATTTTCAATTGTTAAAAATTATTTTTAAGTAAGGATTTTTAAGTATTTGTAGGAATGCATATTTTCTGAAAAAGTCTAGAAAATGAGATCATATATTCTAGAAAAAAATCAATTTATGTCACTTTATTCCAGTGGGTAATTCTTTTTTAAAAAAATAATTTATTGAGATTATTAAGTGAGTACATAAATTTCACAAATTTCACAATATTGTGAGATAGTGATACTTAAAGTCCCAAACACGTTTTAACCTTCACAAGGCAAATTGTCATTATCATGGTCCATAATGTTTGTGAATTCTGTGAGCTTTGACAACTCAACTGTTTCTTCCACATTGGGTGATATGTACATATCTTTCCTTTTGCTTAGTCAGTGGATAATGTCTAACAACTAATTTTTCAGTCACAAATTTCTATAAATTAATTGTTAAGATTACATTTTATCTATTGTTTTATCACCCGAGTTCAAAGTGATTTCTTATTGTCTATGTATTTTCTATTGAATAAATGTTCTAGATATATAAGAATCACAAAGAAAAATAAAATCTCTAATTTTTTAACTTGAAATTTGGAGTTATGAAAAGTAAATTGAAATGACAAGACCAACTGTAGGTCAACAACAGTTTTAACCCTGCAAATTAGCTAGATTAGTTATCTGCAAGAGAAACCTGTTTTACAAATTATGGCTTTCTGCCATAAACTTACCGCATTTAGAGGTTCTGGTCCTAGAGGAAAATTTAATAAACTTAATATTATTTGTGGCTTAAAATTGATTCTGTGTTCTCTGCAGAATAGACTTTAATTGGTTCAAAAAGACATCTTCCTGGGAACAGATGTCACAATTTATTTTCGGTGCTTTTTTTCCATGCAATGACTATATTCATGTTACTCTTTTCAGGCTTGCCTGGGTTTGATTTATACTGTATATGTGGATAGTCTGAATGTCTCCTTGGAAAGTCTCATTGCAAACCTTTGTGCTTGCCTTGTCCCAGCATCTGGAGGGTCTCAGGTAAATAGAATAGAAAAAGAAGTGGTGTTAATTTATTTTGTGTAGAAAGGGAAAGAAAGAATTGTTTTAATACTTTCGTTTTAGAAAATACCCTTGATTAGGTAAGCAGTATGTCTTCTAGGAGGACACAAAAAATTCCATTCTTTTCTTAGTTACAAGGTTTATTTTAACAGTTCACCTTTCATATATTGTAATTAGAAGTCATATTTTGTGTAACTTGCACTCTGTAATTTTTGACTGTAACTTCTTTAGGCTGAACTTTTAAAAGTGCTCTTTTTACCTTTCTGACGCCTATATAGAGATAATGTCATTTTCGTTAAATTAAAAATATTTGAGTGACAAAAATTTTGAGACAACCTCAAGAAAACTGCACAGATCATTGTAACATTACAACTGCTTTAAAATAGATTCCTTTATTCAATATATCTTGAAATTTTCATATTTGTCTCTGAAGTAGAAAAAATCATTTCTGCTATGGTTTGTTTCTAGCAACCATACTTTAAATGTGGATTTTGAGCTAGGGCATGTAGGTCTTGGTAAGAGTACAAGCTTTATGTATGTGAGGCCCAGAGTTCAACTCCCCAGTACCTCCCCCTCCTTAAACCCTGAAAACAATTGGTTGATCATTTGTTTTAATTTTACATAATATTGAGTGAGAAGGATAACTCTGAAACATTCATTGAAATCCTCAATATGACAAAAATGTTAAATAAAGTTAGAGCTTGTTTTTGACCATTTTGTCTTTTCATGGTCTTTTAATTGTTAGTCTCATTTAAAATAAAACAAACTGCTGTTCATTTCTTCCTCACATCTGCTACAAGGGCAGAATATGAAGTGTAGGTTTGATAACAGTTGGGCCTAAACTTTAAAGAAACAATTGTATTTTGAACCTTTACTAAAGTTGACTTTAACACTTTTTATATGTTGTTTACTACAATTGTTAGTTAATTTTGTGTCTCAACTTCATTAAATTTTTAACTTTCAACTACTGAATTTTCTTGTGCTATTTTTAGTTGTACACAAAGTAACTATTGTTTGGGTTACAGGTCATTACCCTTTGCATTTGTTAATTAACTCTTACATGGTCATTTGATCTAAAGTTGAACTTTGATGAGATTTTTATTTTAAGAAAGTGTCCAAATCACATTGATTTGGTGTCTGTTTCTCATTCTGCAGAAACTGTTTTCACTGGGTGCAGGAGATAGACAACTGATCCAGACTCCTTTACATGACAGTCTTCCCATCACAGGCACTAGTGTGGCTCTTTTGTTTCAGCAATTGGGTAGGTCTTTTTTTGTTGTTGTTGTTGTTGGTTGGTCATGAAGGTTGAACTCAAGGCCTAGGCACTGTCCTTGAACTTTTTGCTCAAGATTAGCACTCTACCACTTTGAGCCACAGTTCCATTTAATTGGAGATAAGAGTCTCATAGACTTTTCTACCTGGACTGGCTTCGATCCTCAGATCTAAGTCTGAGTTGCTAGGATTTTAGGCATGAGCCACTAGTGGCTGGGGAGAGAGAGAGAGTAATGGAAAATAGCTAATATGTTTCTTTTTAGAATGAATGGATGTACAAAACATTCAGAATTGTTAAATGCCAATGAGTTTTCACCTCAAAGTAGTTAATTTCATATTAGGTGAATTTCACCTCAGTGAAAAAAAAAGTCTGAAATATAAGTTGTAGAAATGTTCCATTTTGAATAAAAACAAAACTGAAATCTAGGAAAACATATTCATGGGTTATGTAGAATTTATAGGTTAGGTATTTTGCTTCAGAAATTCCAAAAGATTGGCCTTTTGTTTTTATGTCATTGTTTATTTATGATTGTTGGCAACATAAATAAATCTAAATGCATTCAATAAACCTTTTCTCTTCTGTTTTCAGGAATTCAAAATGTGCTGAACCTCTTTTGTGCAGTCCTTACAGAAAATAAGGTTCTCTTCCATTCTGCAAGTTTCCAGAGACTTAGTGATGCCTGTAGAGCCTTGGAGTCTTTAATGTTTCCTCTTAAATATAGGTGAGTTTTTTTACTTGTTCATTGTATTTTTTCTAAATATGTACTACTTATTGATAAATCAAATGTCATTTAACAGTGGCTTTGAGCCAGGGTTATGCTGGTGTAAAAGTCTACTAAAACCTTGCCTAGAATTTGGAATTTTTCCAGGTTATACTCTATTGTGGATTAGTGAAAATTCTTTTGATTAGTATTGTCAGACTTGTCATTTTCTTTAAATACAATTATTAGTAAAAGCCTTTGGTCAATGCTATTTAATATTAAGGGAATATTACTTCTAGTAGTTATAATGGTATTGTAATTCTATTAATAGAACCTTTAATATTATTAGATACTTACTAAAGATATATGTGTATATGTGTGTATAATTATCAAACTTGGATTAAATACATAGGCCTTCATTATAATTTTTTTCTATTTTAGGGAATAGGTTAAAACTTTCTATAATAAAATATTAAATAAATTTTAAGAGTACAATATTTACAATATTTACTATACTGTAAATGTACAGTATTTACTATACTGTTTACTAATCATACCATCTAGGAAACTTCAGATCATTCACTGTACATGACACTTCAGATTGTCTCTAGAATTTCTTTAATTCTTTTAAGTCTATGTGCTCTTCTGAACCTTCTTGACTTTAATTTTTTTTTGATGCTCTTCACTGAATTCTAGAACCGAGTATAGAGAATGAAATATTAATGACTATATTCTATTGGCAAATTATTACTTAATCTTCAAACACAAGTGTCATTTAGTGTTAGTCTTTAATGTCAGATTTCTTCAAACAAAGACATAAAGAGCCTGATTGTTAGGGGGAAGAAGTAATTAACAAAGCCCACCTGGGTTCCATTTACTTTGTCTTGTTATATTTGATTATATCTTAAAACATTAAATTTTTAATCCTTGAAAAATTAACATTAACATGCATGATAATTGATCATTTTAATTATAGATAATATAAAGTTTATACTGTATAAAAGTGAAAGAAAATATATTATGGGAAAAAATAGATAAATAACATTTTAATTGTTTACAGTTACCCTTATATTCCCATTCTCCCGGCTCAGCTACTGGAAGTTCTGAGTTCCCCCACACCTTTCATTATTGGAGTACATTCCATTTTTAAAAGTGATATCCATGAACTTGTAAGTATTCATCTTTAAATTTCCTGGTTATTAAGTCTAGAGCCTTCCATTTCTTTGAGTGCTGTAACATTTAACAATTTTCGGATCTTTTGCATTTCTAACAGAGATGGACTGGAATAAAAACAATGAAAAGTATAAATATATTAATTTTGCCACATAGTATATATGGTTGATTTGTGTGTGTGTGTGTGTGTTTGCTGGTCTTGGAGCTTGAACTCAGGACCTGTACACTGTCCCTTAGCTATTTAGCTCAAGGCTAGTGTTTTACCACTTGGGCCATACTTCTTCTGGCTTTTTGGTAGTTAATTGAGATTAGACTCAGAACTTTCCTGCCTGGACTGGCTTTGAACTTTGAATCCTCATATTTCATCTTTCTGAGTAGCTAGGATTACAAACTGAGCCACTGTGGTGCCCACTCTGGGAAATTTTTTAAAAAGGGAATTCATTAGTTTTGGGTTTTTTTGTTGTTGGTGGTGGTGATGGTGGTATCAGTCTTGGGGCTTAAACTCAAGGCCTGGGCATTGTCCCTGAACTTTTTTCTTTTTGCTCAAGACTATTGACAGGTAAATTACAGTTCCACTTCTGGCTTTTTGAATGTTAACTAGAGATAATAGTCTACATACTTTCCTGCCCTGGCCTATGTTCAAACTGCAATCCTCAGATATCAGCCTTCTGAGTAGCTAGGATTAGAGGTACCATCCACTGGTACCTGGCTTTCATTAGCTTTTTTTTGACAAGGGATCTCATCTATGTTGCCCATTCTGGACTTGAACTCCTGAGCTCAAGTGATCCTACTGCCTCGGCTTCCTGTAGCTTGGACTAAACATGTGCATCAACATACCCAATTCTTATATATATATATTTTTTTATTTTTATTTTTTTATTTTATTTATTTATTTTTTTGTCAGTCATGGGGCTTGAACTCTGGGCTGAGTGATGTGTGATGTCCGTCAGCTCTTCAGCTCAAGGCTAGCTTTACCACTTAAGCCATAGCACCACTTTGGTTTTCTGGTGGTTTATTGGAGATAAAGAGTTTCACAGGGCTGGGAAGGTGGCTCAGTGGTAGAGCGCTTGCCTTGCATGCATGAGGCCATGGGTTCGATTCCTCAGTACCACATAAGCAAAAAGAAAAAAGCTGTAAGTGGCGCTGTGGCTCAAGAGGTAGAGTGCCTTGAGCTGAAGAGCTGAGGGACAGTGCCCAGACCCAGAGTTCAGGCCCCACGACCAGACCCAAAAAAAAAGAGGGTAAATGATTAATTAATATTCCATTTCTATGTTTTTAAAATAAGTACTTAATTCATATTTTAATGTGAGACCTGTCTTAGTCCTGAATGACTGAAAACTAACTAGATAACTTAGTTTTAGTGGTATGCAAACTCAATATGAGCCCCTACTAAATTTACTATTGTTAATTCCAAATAGCAAATATTTTTTAAAAAGGTAAATATTGAAGAAAGAAAAGCTAGGTTGTAGAATAATGTGTTTCATTTTAGTTATCACACTTCTAAGAGGAGCTGTAACAAAATGAAGTACTTCAGCCTTGGCATAGTGGCTCATTCCTAAAATCCCAGCTTCTTAGGAGGTATAGATCCAGGACTATTGCATTTCAAGACCAGTCTGGACAAAAAAATTAGCAAGATTTCATTTAATAAGCCAGACATGGTGATGTGTGCCTGGAATTCCAGCTCCACAGAAGGCCATAGTAAGAGGATTGAATTCTGAGGCCAACCCTGACAAAAATAAAAGCCCTACCTGAAAAATAACTAACACAAAAAGGAGTCGGGGCATAGCTCAAGTTGTAGTCTGCCTGCCTAGCAACCATAAGGATCAGAATTCAGACCATAATACCACCAATGTAAATATGTAAGTAAAAGTAAAGTGCTTCAGAGAAGGATATCCAGGATTATCAGGAGTTTATAAACTATAGTTTATAATGCTTTAAAGAAATTTTCTCAATAGTCTAATACTGTTTGGTAGCCAAGGATAAATGTTTAAGTGGCTATCATAGTGAGGAAGGTAAGATACTTCTCTCTCTCTCTTCTTTATTTTTTTTTCTTTCTTCCCTCATCTTCTATTTCCCATCCTCTATTTCTCCTTTTGCAGCTAGTTGTAAGGTCTAAAAGAGAATCAGTGGGGATAATAGGTATAGAATGAGCATTGCCAGCCACAGGGCTGTCTAGTAATAGAATAAATTTCCTTATGTGAGATGAGGACTATACTGTGTGAAGAACAGATTTCCTGACAATTTCTCATTCTACTTCTGATTTAGTTTCAGATGTTAGCACCAGGTCTGTTAGTAATTACTCAATGATTACAGTTGTTATCAAAACAGAAGTGTCATTTAAACTAACAAAAAGATTATTCAACATTATAAACAGGACTCCCCCCTTTGTATATTAATCATTTTCCTAACCTTATATGTTGATACCTAGTTAATTTTACCATATAAAATATATAAATTAATAAATATTAACATAGTATAATTAGCACTAGTAAAAGCATAATGATATGATTTGTGAATAATTTTGTTACAGCTAAATACAATCACACTTGAAGATGGGACAAACCAAGTTTTGCCAAGTGTAAATTTCTTAACATTTTAATGATTAAATTAAAATGAACTGTAATCATATTAGCAATGTAATAGCTTCACTAGTCTCACCTAGTGTCTCTTAGATCTTAATGTAAGTTATTTTTAAATATGAGCTGGTAAGGGATAAAATCATTTTTTCCCTTAACAATAGTCTTTAGATGTATATTGCTTTGCTGTAATTTTGGAGTAACTATTTAGTATTTGAGCTAAGATACTATAAGAAATCATCCAAATACATTAAATGGCTCACTTGGAACAGTGCATAGAATGTTCCATTATGCTAAACAAGTTTGTTCTACAAAGTCATTTAATGTCCAACCTTTCTTTCTCATATTTCTACCAGAATCCTCTCAGGCATTGTCATTAGCTGAATGCTTACAGCGAGGTTGCTGCTAGTATATAATTTCAACATATGGGAAAAGGAATGAGAGCATGAAAGAGCCTTAATAATAATAGCCACTAACTTGGAGAGCTGGATTGCACATAACACTTTTGTGTTCCATTGCTGTTGAAACAATGACATGCACCATATAATTCCAAAGGAAGCTGAGAATTGTAAGATAACTAGGAAGTTAATAATGAGCCAAGAACTTTTATTTCTATAAACAGCTAAAAATCTCTTCTACAAATGATTCTTCTGATTTTGAATCAGTCAAGGCCAAGTGATTTTGCTAAGCAACAAATGAAGTGTACTAATTATAAGTTAATTTTTTTTATCTCTTGCAGTTAGATGTAATCATAGCAGATTTGGATGGAGGCACTATTAAAATTCCTGAATGTATTCACCTCTCTTCTCTCCCGGAACCACTTCTTCATCAGACTCAAGCAGCTCTTTCTTTGGTATGCTTTTTTTAAAAAAAATAGTAATTTATTACTAATTTAAGTGTGAAACTAAGATAACTAGAATTAAAAATCATTGTCAGTATTTACTTTAAACAGAATTTGAAGCATAAATATTATACTTAGAGACTTCATTTACCAAGTGTTTTTTATAAATATACTTTGAATCTAATTGCATATTTTTCATGTTATTCATTTATTCAGCATATTCACTTAGTAGACACTACTGCATAAGCTATATATTAGTACTAAAAAGTACAACTGTGAAAACAATATAAAATTTTACCTTAAAATCCATTGATTCCCCCAACATTTTTTCCCCTTTCCTCTCTATTGGTGTCACATTCTTCTAGTAGATATGCTATGTGTAAAACAATATCTTCTCAGAGTTTTTAGGCTAATTCAGAACTTATGACTTGTGAAATGCTAAATGTCTAATCCAGTGAAGTTCTAAGAAAATCGTTGGAATGTGTTTTTCCTTTTGAAAAAATTTAATTTTTGAAGTTATTCTACCTTGGTTATTATTTTTTTTGGGGGGGGGGGTTCTGGTCGTGGGGCCTGAGCTCTGGGCCTGGGCGCTGTCCCTCAGCTCTTCAGCTCAAGGCTAGCTCTCTACCACTTGAGCCACAGCGCCACTTCCGGCTTTTTTCTTTTTGCTCATGTGGTGCTGAGGAATCGAACCCAGGGCCTCAGGCATGCAAGGCAAATGCTCTACCACTGAGCCACCTTCCCAGCCCCATACCTTGGTTATTTTTTAAAACATAATTTTACTGACAATCCTTTAACTTCTCACTTATCCATCATCAGAAAACTTAATCTTACAAATATTTTATATTTTTTTATTTTTTGGTCAGTTATGGGGCTTGAACTCTGGACCTGGGTGCTGGTGCTGTCTCTCAGCTCTTCAGTTCAAGGCTAGCGCTCTACCACTTGAGCCACAGTACCACTTCTGGTTTTCTGAGTGGTTTATTGGATATTAGTCTCACAGCCTTTCGTGCCTGGGCTAGCTTTGAACTGCAATCCTCATATCTCAGCCTCCTGAGTAGCTAGAATTACAGGCGTGAGCCACTGGCGCCCGGCAGTATTTTTTGTTGTTGTTGTTCTTGGACTCTGGGCCAGGGCACTGTCCCTCAGCTCTTCAGCTCAAGGCAAGCACTCTACCACTTGAGCCACAATGCCACTTTCGGTTTTCTGGTGGTTTATTGGAGATGAGGGTCTCACAGACTTTTCCTGCCAGGGCTTGCTTTGAACACAGTCCTCCAGATCTCAACCTCCTGAGTAGCTAGGATTACAGGCATGCCTGGCAATATTTTTATTTTTTAATTGTTATTATAAAGTTGATGTACAGAGGGTTAGAGTTACATAAGTCAGGTGATGAGTATGTTTCTCTTTGTACAATGTTACCCCTTTTCTTACAGTTTTTTACTCCCATCCCCTCAGACAAGTTGTATAGAAAATACTACTGCTGCATTTGGTCACTCAAACTTTCAATTTTATGTTAAGTCAATGTTTGTCTTATTATGCTGGTTTAAAGATAACTGACCTTTTCTAATACAATTTGTAATACAAACTATGATAGAGAGGAAACGAAACTAGCTGGACTGAATCTCCATTCTTTCCATTTATATCATTCAAGAAATCCTATTTCCTTCATCTTTAGGCCTGTTTTCTGGTCTTTATAGGATGAGTGGGTCTTTTTGTTGTAAACATTTCTTATTAGTACAAAAAAATGATACAAAGGAGTTACATTGGGATATTTTTGTATTGTACTTTTTAAGCCTCTTTTTTACCCTCCTCCTTTAGCAAAAAGATTAGGCAGTATGCTGATGCTGTTGACTATTTTTCTGGACGCTGCTGGAGATATCTGCCTTTTGTTTACCGTTTTTAAATGTTTTGTTTTTTTACAGATAAGTAGGTGAGTGTTTAGAAATAATTTTGAGATGGGCATTGGTGGCTTGTGCCTGTAACCCTAGCTACTCAGTAGGATGAGATTTGAGAATCACAGTTCCAAGCCAGCCAGGTAGGAAAGTCCATGAGACTCTTTTCTCCAGTTAACCACCAGAAAACTGGATGTGGAGTTGTGGCTCAAAGTGATAGAGTGCTAGCTTTGAGCAGAAAAACGCAGGATGTGATAGGGGAAACACTAGGGCTCCTTGGTACAGGTTGAAACTTCCTAAGTAAAGATCCAGAATGACAACAAATCAAAGAAAGACTGGATAAATGAGATTGCATCAGACTGAAGAGTTTCTGTATGGCAAAGGACATAGCTAGCAAGATAAATAGAAAGCCCACAGAATGAGAGAAGATTTTACTAGCTATTTCATCAGACAAGGGCTTGATATCTAAAATATATATAGAGCTCAAAAAATTAAACCTTCCCAAAACAAATCCTCAAAGAAACAACAACCTAATTAATAAGTGGGTTAAAGACTTAAAGAGAGACTTCTCAGAGGAAGAACAAAGGATGGCCAATAGATACATGAAGAAGTGTTCAACATATCTGGCCATAAAAGAAATGCAACCAAAACAACATTGAGATTCCACCTCACTCCAGTAATAATGGCTATTATCAGGAAAACTAACAATAACAGATGGTGGTGGGGATGTGGCCAAAAGGGGACCCTATTACACTGTTGGCAGGAATGTAAACTTGTTCAACCACTCTGGAAAGCAGTGTGGAAGTTCCTCAAAAGACTAAACATAAAGCTTCTCTATGACCCACTCCTGGGCATTTACCCAAATGATCACAAACCAAACCAAACTAAAGCCACCAGCACAACCATGTTCATTGCAGTATTCTTTACCATAGCCAAGCTATAGAATCAACTCAGATGTCCCTCATTGGATGAATGGATCAAGAAAATGTGGTATATATACACAATGGAATGCTATGCTTCCATTAGAAAGTATGACATTCTCCCATTCGTAAGGAAATGGAAAAACTTGGAAAAAAGTTATACTAAGTGAAGTAAGCCAGACCCAAAGAAACATAGGTTGTATGATTTCTCTCATTTGTAATAATTAGAATGTGCCTGTAAATCTACAAATAAACCCAATGGATAGTAAAAGACAAATAATTAACTTGGACATGATTAAACAGTACTCTAAATATTCATACAGAACAAAGGATTACAAGGGCTCAATAGCTATGTGGAAATAATCATATAACATGATGCTTATCAAAATGAACTCCAAGAAATGGAAACAAGGTGGTTTTTTTTTTCAAAAAATTTTAGTGTGCATATTTTCTTTTTTCTTTCCTTTTTTTTTTTAATTTAATTTTATTTTATTTGTGAACATACTGTACAGAGGGGTTACAATTACATGGGCAGGATAATGCGTACATTTCTTACCAAGCATTGCAGCCTCCTCCTTTGGTTTACCCTTCACATCCTTCTTTCCTTTTTTAAATTTCCCTTTTGTCGCTGTTTTTGATTTCTGTACTCTGTCTTGTATATAAGTTTATCTCATTTGGGGAAGGGAAGCACAGAAATGGTGGGATAAAAGGTGAACCAATTCAACAGTAATACTCTCTAGACACTATTTTGGAAATAAACTATACAACTTGAAGGGAAGGGGAGGTGGGAGGGGAAAAACTGAGAGAGAATGTGTGGTGGGGGAACAGTGACACTGGTCAAAGGGAAATGTACTCATTACCTGTAATGTAACTGTAATCCTTCTGTATATCACCTTTACAATAAAATTTAAATTAAAAAGAAAAGCTCAGAGACAGCATCCAGGCGCTAAGTTCAATTCCCACAACTGACAAAAAGAAATACATATTCCTTATGTAACTGTAACCCTTCTGTGTATCACCATTATAATAATAAAAAATAAATTAAAAAAATTATTTTGGAAGGTATTTTTTCATTTTAATGATTTATTGTTTGTTTTCATATATATTTTAAATAGTATATAAAACTTTTGGTTACACAGATAATATCCAAAATATTACATTTTAACATTTGCTGAAAGAAAAAATATTAACTGTGATTTGTAGATGGCATAGAGATATATCAATAGCTGAAAAGTTATATTTGAGTGTTTAAAGAACAACTTGTGGGCTGGGATGTAGCTCAGTGGCAAAGCACTTGCCTAGCAAGTGCAACGTCCTGGGTTCAATCCCCAGTACCAAAAAAGGAAAAACAAGACAAAATACATTTAAAGAACAACTTGTATTAGGTATGAAATTTAACAAACATCCTTTGTTCTGTTTTGACCATTAGATAATAAGTAAGGAATCTGCCAGAAACTGGCAGGATACTTTAACCTTATTACTTGTGTAACCAAGTTTGAATAGTTTCTACAAATTTGAATTTTGTCATTTATGGAAATAGTGAGTATACCTGTAGCTTCCATTCTACATTGTGTAGCATAATAAACTGAATAAAAGATAAGAACATTATATAGTATCAAACTAGAATGACAAGATATCAATATAATGGACCAACAAATAAATAAATTATCATTGTTCTTATACACAAATAAGCTTTGCTTGATGGTAAATAATTATAATCAAATCCATGGTTGTGTAGTAACCATGATGATGTTATAGATACTGAAACCTTACTAAACCACCAAAGGGACTAGATAATTTGGTTGTAATTATTGTTGACATTTAAATTTTTTCTTATTTTATTTGCTTTTTTACTTGCTTATTTCCTTGTTTTTCTATGTAGTGTTTCTATATAGTCCAAGCTGGCCTTGAATTCATTATTCTCTATCCTTAACTTCCCCAGTACTGGTATTACAAGTGTACACCACATTCCTGGCTTCACATTGACTTTCAAGATTTGAGTCTTTTGATTGGTTCTTACTATGAAAACCGTTGTTTTATTTTTACTTTGTTTTACTTTTTTTTGTGGTACTTGTATTGAACCCAGTGCTTTCATATAGCTAGTAAGTGCTCTAACCCTGAGTTACATCTTCAGTCATTTTTACTTTTATTTTGAGAAAATATCTAAGTTACTTAAAGTAATATTATACTTTTGCCTCAGTGTCCTGAATATCTGGTTGTGTACCACTAGGTATGAATTTAAAAGCCTTAGTATTTGAAAATTATTCTGCAAAGACAAAGTTTTGTTTATATGTGTGTATATATAGTTATATACGATGTTTTATGTATATATGTATATACATATATATGTGTGTATACACACACACACACACACACATATATACATGGGCAGTTTTGCCTTTTTCTACATGCACTTTCTACATGGACCTTTCTTCCCATCCACTTACCAGCTTGCTTTCCTTTGACATCTGACTCAAACATTAACTTATTCCCTTTTCCCTCAGTATTTTAACTTAAAAATAAAATCAGCATCATAGACATACAGTTCCACCCCAGACCATTCCCTTTCTAGTTGTGGCTACTATTATAAAATAGTTTTGTGTGTATTCTATAAGAACTTTTTATTCTCATATATATGTATATCTGTATAAGCATACATATTTGTGTTGTTTTCAAAATAAGCAAGATGATACTATGTAGCTTTCTCTAGAATATTTTTCCCACTAAATACTTTGTCTTAGATAACTTATCATGGTAGTACAGACAGAGCTAGCTCATGAAGGTAAAATAACATAATTAATGTAATTACAGTTCATTATATTGCCAGAAGGAGATTAAAGAATAGTTTTATTGTTGTTAACATATCTTGTTTAACAAAATTTATCTGCTTTAGATTTTACACCCAGATTTGGAAGTAGCGGATCATGCTTTTCCTCCTCCTCGAACAGCTTTATCCCATTCAAAAATGCTGGTAAGTTGTTTAATTTTTATATTTAGTAGTTTTAAAGAAGCTACTTTTTTTTATTTGTAGGGTTGCTAAAGAAGCTGAGTGGAGTTAGATAGTCAGTATAGTAATAAATGCTGCAATTCAAAGTTAAGTCAGTTGCCACTGTCTTTGTGTTCTGTCCAACAAGGACAGTACATTGATCAAAAGAGTAGGACTATGATGTTGCCTGAGGAGCCAAGGATAAGTCATTATATTATAGCTTGGAAAACTTCATTAAATAAAAATAGAATCAAGAGTTTGGGTATTTTTGTTGTAGTAGTTGTCCTGTTGTTTTGGTTATTGTTATTTGTAGTGGTTGGGATCAGATCCAGACCATTGTTTATACTGGGCCAGTGATCTACTGAGCCACATCCTAGCTCTCAGTAAGCATTTTTTTTTTTTTTAAATCGGTCATGGTGCCTGGACTCTGGGCCTGGGCTCTGTCCCTCAGCTCTTCAGCTCAAGGCTAGCGCTCTACCACTTGAGCCATAGCACCACTTCTGGCTTTTTCTGCTATGTGGTGCTAAGGAATCAAACCCGGGGCCTCACGCATGCAAGGCAAGCACTCTTCCACTGAGCCACCTTCCCAGCTCCATTTTTTTTTTTTAAGAGGGAAACATACAAAACTAGATACAGTGAACACTGATAATAGGAGAAAATCAAGTTTGAGAAGTGAATGGATTTTAAAAGTTTCAATCAAATTATAAAGGCCTGTTTTTAAATTTTGCTTAGTGAATTTCATAAATTAAACTTTGTGGCCAGCAAAAGCCTTACAAAGCTGACCACTTTTGAAAAACATCTTAAGTATTCTTGACTTTCATTTCCTTATCAGTGGAGTTGATTAAATAAATCTAAGTCTCCTTGGCAGTTTTTTGTGGGAGGATATTTAAGGTTTGAACTAAGTTTGGTGTATGCTTGTTATTCAGGCACTTTATTACTTGAATCAGACTCTAACCTCCCTGTTTTAAAACTGTGATTCTATTAAAACATGGATTATCAAAACATTTTTGCATTATTCCTAATTAAAATGAATCCATTTTTATAAGTTGGATAGACTTTGGATAAATTTTATAAGCCTTTAAAATATCTTTTCGGCACAGTTGCATATCAGTTAAATATTTGCAACTGATTTTTTTGGCAGATGTGTAAATCAAAGGCCTTCAGATATATGTTCTTTATAACATGTTCATAAAAAAAGACTATACAATTTTTAAAGGAAAATAGGATGTTCTAGAGGCAAGTTTTGTGTGGCTCAGTATACAAAATGTCTAACAGCGTAAGCAATCTTATGATGGAATAGACTAGGCACTCACTATGGACTGTCACAAATGACATAAGCAATAGGAAGCACAGACGGACTTTCACCTTTTTTCTTTTTGACTTAATGACATTTCAGTTGTTTGTCAAGAAATTAAATTGCCTAATGTATTTCCTCTTATAATTTTAGGATAAAGAAGTACGAGCAGTTTTCCTTAGATTATTTGCACAACTTTTTCAAGGATATAGATCATGTCTACAACTTATAAGAATTCATGCAGAGCCAGTAATACATTTTCACAAAGTAAGATACAGTACCATATTATATCTGTCCAAAAAGTTAGATTTAATTTAATGAAACAACTTGTTTTTCTAGCTGTGTATATTGATCTTAATTTATGAAATGTGATTATTGTGAATCTCCCCTTTGTATGGTACATGGTAATTTTAATAATACTATGGAATTGATACAGATTCCCTTCAGAGTTTGTTTTTTGAGTGTTTATTTTTTCACTTTTCTTTCTTATGAAATAGATTCATTTTTATTTTTTCAATATATGAAATATTATACAAAAGCCCCCTTTGGAGAAAATCTGTTTTTATAACAATGCATAAATATACATGAAAATATTAATACAGTCTGTGATCTTTCTGTTCTGTCTTTATTTTAACCATTTGTCCATCCAAGTGATAAATTATCATTTCCTGTTTTCTTTTTTTACAGACAGCTTTCTTGGGGCAGCGTGGTTTGGTTGAGAATGATTTCCTCACTAAAGTACTCAATGGAATGGCATTTGCAGGTTTTGTTTCAGAAAGAGGTCCTCCCTATAGATCATGTGATCTCTTTGATGAGGTATAGTTCTTATTAAATGAATATATTATTTATAAACATAATTATAGGGCTGGGAAGGTGGCTCAGTGTAGACTGCTTGCCTTGAATGCTTGAGGCCATGGGTTTGATTCCTCAGCACCACATAAGCAGAAAAAAAAAGCCGGAAGTGGCATTGTGGCTCAAGTGGTAGAGTGCTAGCCTTGAGCTGAAGAGCTGAGGGACAGTACCCAGGCCCAGAGTTCAGGCCCCACGACTGGATCCCCCCCCGAAAAAAAAATAAAATAAAATAAACCTAATTATACTAGTAGTTAAAAGTAGAAGAGCATTATTTTAGTCAAAGTCACAAGTAGAAATTAAACATGAAATAATCCAAATATTTATTTTGCTTATTAAATCTTGATTTTTATAGCGTGGATTAGAAAACTAGAAAAATACAATTATAGGATGTCTTAGAAGTACGTAAAATTTTGAACAACTGAATTTTAAATAGTTTATTAAGTCTTTTTGAAAATTTGACCGTGGATGTATATAAAGTTCTTTTTAAAGCAATTATACAATGTTTCCCTTTGTCAAAATGCTATATTAGAAATATCTAATTTTGATGTATGTATATGATTCCAAATTTTAGGTACAGTTAGTCCATTAGTGTTGTTGAACTATACTTTAAACATTCCTAAATATTTGTCTAGCTCCCTGAAGAGGTATTAAATATATGGAAATGAGATTATTCTCCTCAGAAATTGGTCCTATAAAGGGAGAAATAGGACATATAATTCACAGTACTGATGCTATCTTACATTTATTATGCTTTCTCTTTCTTTTACATGTCTTTCCATTTGTCATTTAAGCCTACATTCATGACAGTGCATTTTGGAGAATAAACAATGAATATGATTCCCATTTGTAAAAGCATTGTTTTGGAACCAATAAATATAAACGTTTCTTGAAATCAATAGAAGAAAAATATTCTTAGCACCTGAGATAAGGAGAATATATTAGTGGTCATATTTTGTTACTTTATGTTGAGAAGGTAGGAATGGAGGTCTTAAATATGCTTAATTTAAAGAGAATATTTTCTTCTTTAAAAGAATAGTAAGCTGGGCGCTGGTGGCTCACACCTATAATCTAGCTACTCAAGAGGCTGAGATATGAGGATCACAGTTCAAAGCCTGTCCTGTGAGACTCTTCTCTCCAATAAGCCACTTAGAAAAAGCTAGAAGTGGTGCTGTGGTTCAAGTGGTAGAGCACTAGCTTTGAGCCAAAGAGGCTTAGGGACAGTGCCTAGACCCAGAGTTCAAGCCCCAGGACTGGTGGTGGTAGGGGCGGGGAGCTGGACAATGGTAGCTCATGCCTATAATCTTAGCTATTCAGGAGGCTGAGATCTGAGGGTTGTTGGGTTTGTAGTTCAAAGCCAGCCCTGGCAAGAAAGTCTGTGAGATTCTTATCTCCAGTTAACCACTATAAAGGACAGAAGTGGAGCTTTGGCTCAAGTGGTAGAGTACTAGCCTTGAGCAAAGGAAGCTCAAGGACAGTGGGACTGGCATTCTCCCCACCCCCCACATACACAAAAGTTAGGTGGATGCCAACAGCTCAAGTCTGTAATCATAGCTACTCAGGAAACAGATCTGAGGATCAAGGGTGAAAGCTTAGCCCAGGCAGGAAAGTACATGAGAATCTTACCTCCAATTAACCACCAAAAATCAAGAAGTAGAGCTCAAGTGGTAGACCATTAACATTGAAGACAAAAGCTCAGTGACAACACCCAGTCCCTGAGTTCAAGCCCCAGAAATGGTGCGCGTGCGCGCACACACACACACACAATTAAGTACTCATAGGTAAGAACTAAAGAAGAGGCATGTGTTTTAATTCCGATTATGAAGATCTGTACCAAATGTTGTAGTTAATAGCACAAAGTATATGACTTTTGATATTGAGGTGAATTTTTTTTTTTTTGGGGGGGGGCTGTTTTTGGTTTTTGTTTTGTTTTGCCAGTCCTGGGCTTGAACTCAGAGCTTCTTTTGCTCAAGGCTAGTGCTCTACCACTTGAGCCATAGTGCCATTTCTGGCTTTTTTGAGTAATTTATTTGAGATAAGAGTCTCATGTGCTTAGTCCTGCCTGGGCTGGCTTTCAATCATAATCTTCAGATCTCAGCTTCCTGAGTAGTTAGGACTGCCTGGGTAGGTGAACAGTTCTTTATAATCAATTTATTAGACATTGATTCTCTGTTGATAACATTTCATATGATTGGCTATTTTCCTGACATATCAACCTAATTAAGTAGCTCACACTTAATGTCTTACTAAAGTTAAATTAAGATTCTTTACAAGGTCCTTTTCTGGCTCACTTATTACTTGGTATTATTCTCTAAATTTTTATTATTATTCTCTAAATTTTTAGTTTTAAATTTAAATTTTATTGTAAAGGTGATGTACAGAAGGGTTATAGTTACCTAAGAAAGGTAATGAGTACATTTCTTTTAGAACAGTGTTACTCCCCTCTCATTTTCTCCCACTTCCTCCCACTCCCCTGCAAGTTGTAAAGTTCATTTCCAACATAGTGTCTAGTGAGTATCACTGTTGAATTGATTCACTATTTGTCCCACTGTTTCTGTGATTCATCTTCCCTTCCTCAAATCAGACAAACTTACATACAAATGCTTATTAAAATGAACTCTGAGAAATGGAAATGAGGTTTTTTTATTGTGCTGTTTGCAGTTATTTCTTTATTCTTTCCTTTTTTTCCTGTTGTCAGTGTTTTTTATTTCTATATCCTTTGCCTTGTATATGTTTTTCTGAAGCCATTTATTTATTTTTATTTTTTGGTTGGTCATGGGGCTTGGGCTCTGTCCCTGTGCGCTTCAGCTCAAGGTGAGCACTCTACTGCTTGAGCCACAGCTCCACTTCCGATTTTCCAGTGGTTTCTTGGATATAAGAGTCTCACAGACTTTCCTGCCCAGGCTGGCTTTGAACCACGATTCTGAGATCTCAGCCTCTTAAATAGCTAGGATTACAGGCATGAGCCACTGGTGCCCAGCTCTTATTTATTTTTTATAAGACTTCTTTTAATTGCTCGTCCTGGGGCTTGAACTCAGGGCCTGGCCACTGTTCGTGAGCTGCTGCTTTTTTTTTTTCCTCAAGGCTAACACTCTACCACTTGTGCCACTGAGCCACAGCGCCACTTCCAGCTTTTTCTGTTTATGTGATTACTGAGGAATCGAACCCAGGGTTTCATGCGTGCTAGGCAAGCACTTGACCACTAAGCCACATTCCCAGTCCCTCTCTGAAACTTTTAATAATGACATTATATACCTTCTTTCTTTTCTGTCCAGATTTCCTTACAAGTTCCTTCTGGCAGATTTATTACAACTAAAAAAGTCATATTATTTGAAGAAAACTTGTTTTACCTTTGTTTTTAGAGGTCCTTCTCTTATCTGGAATGCCTACCTTCTGTCTTTCAGCCAACCATGAATCTCTGTTCTTCATACTCAGCTGCTCCTCATCACTTCCCAGGGTAGTTTGCCCTGCAAATTCCTAGACTGCATTAAGCTTCACTATATAGCTGTAAAGTTCCTGTTGTATTTCTTGTCAGTGTATCCAGTTCTCTGTTCTGCTTGCAGCAATGACTTTTGATGCTTTATATACCTGAAAGCCCCTTAAGCATATGTATGTATGTGTGTGTGTGTGTGTGTGTGTGTGTGTGTGTGTATGTGTGTGTGTGTGTGTGTGAATCCAAAGGCCTAGAAGAAACAAGGCAATGGACACAAATGATTACTCATTTAACCCTCTTTATACATTTACATGGTAATATGCTTTTGTAGGAAAATAGCATTTGCTCCTAGGAAAGAGATCTTTGTTTCCCTATGAGGTAGGGAAGCCTACCACTTGGGGGTTTTATGGAGCTCTGAGAAACTTTCATTGTGCATTGTCTTATGATTATAGGCATCTCAAAATGAAGTAAATTTTGCCTTTGCATGACAGTCTTTCTGAATACTGGCCTAGAGTAGGTAAAACAATTTTTAAAACATAAAGCCATAGTTTTATGCATCTATCTGCTCCAGTAAATCTGTTAGTTCCTAGAAGGAAGGATATCTATTCTTTTATTTTTATCTTGCCACAGTTCTTTTCCTATCAGCACTTTTTCTCTACCTTAATTATACATATTTAACCCATTTTTCTCAGTAAGTTAGTTGATAGGTAGACGAAGTAGAACATGTAATTTAAGAACTAGAAGGTGCCTAAACATTATCTTACTTTTTCATCTTATTTAGAAAGAAGGAGACTAAAGTCCAGGAGTTTTTAGTAACTTTTCCAGATCACACTGTCCACAGACTAGAACTGGAATCTGAGCAATGTGACATAACATTTGGTTCATGTATTGAGTTAAATATTTGGAGACTTTAATTTATCTGAGTAAGAGAATTCTCAGAGTGAAATCCACAGAATAACAGGGTTTCTCTGAGCTCCAGATTTTAACTATTTCTGAGAAACAGTGCAGAGGGTCTACTAGGCAATTCAAGGACTAGATAGACCACTGTAACCAAAATAGAAATGAAACCCAGTACTAAATACTTTGTGTTTTAAAATAATGCACATAGGCTGGGTGGCTCAGTGGTAGAGTGCTTGCCTTGCAAGGCCCTGGGTTTGATTCCTCAGCACCACATAAGCAGAAAAAGCCGAAAATGGCACTGGCTTGAGTGGTAGAGCATTAGCCTTGAGCTTAAGAGCTGAGGGACAGTGCCTAGGCCCAGAGTTCAGGTCCCATGACCAACCAAAATAAATAAAATAATACATATTTTGGGTGGTCTTGTCATTTGCAAATTGTATGAAATTATCAGTTAAATTCAACATATTTTTGTATTGATGTTTTACCATTTGATTCTTTTTTCCCAGTTGGTAGCTTTTGAAGTAGAGAGGATTAAAGCTGAAGAAAATAATCCATTGAAGATGATAAAGCACATCAGAGAACTTGCTGAGCAACTATTAAAAAATGTAAGTAAGTATATTTGAACAGTCATTAATGTTAAAAGTATTAATAGGGCACTGGAGGACCACAACTGTAATCCTAGCTTCTCAGGAGGCTGAGATCTGATGATCAAGATCCCCTAAAGCTCAAGGTAAGCACCCATACCCTGAGTTCAAGCCCCTGGACCAGCACACACTCACAAAAAAAGTATTAACAGAATGTTTCATTTGTAAAACCAGAAAACTTCTTTCTAGTGATAAACTCATTTTGCTCTGAATTATAAATTAGATATTTAAGTTGGTGCTATATCCCAATACGTCACTTTGGGGCTGGGAAGATGGCTCAGTGGTAGAGCGCTTGCCCTGCATACCTGAGGCCCTGGGTTCGATTCCTCAGCACCACATAAGCAAAATAAAAAAAGTGGGAAGTGGCGCTGTGGCTCAAGTGATAGAGCTCTAGCCTTGAGCTGAAGAGCTGAGGGACAGCACCCAGGCCCAGAGTTCAGGCCCCATGACCGAACCCAAAAAACAAACAAACCAAATACATCACTTTCTTTTTTTTTTTTTTTTTTTTTTTTTGGGGTCCGGTCCTGGGGCCTGAACTCTGGGCCTGGGCGGTGCCCCTCAGCTCTTCAGCTCAAGGCTAGCGCTCTACCACTTGAGCCACAGCACCACTTCTGGCTTTTTTCTTTTTGCTTATGTGGTGTGCTGAGGAATGGAACCCAGGGCCTCATGCATGCAAGGCAGGCACTCTACCACTGAGCCACCTTCCCAGCCCCAAATACATCATTTTTTAAATGTAATGTTCCTATGTTAGGAAAATCTTGGTCACATTTTTTTCCATTTATCATTTGCCCTCATCTTTTGGGGGGCTGGGGGTTGTTAGTCATGGGGCTTGAACTCAAGGCCTGGGACACTGTCCCTGAGCTTTTTTGTGCAAGGCTGCCATTCTGCCACTTTGAGCCACAGCTCTACTTCTGTTTTTCTGGGGGTTTATTGGAGAAAAGAATCTCAGACTTTTTTACCCAGGCTGGCTTTGAACCACCATCCTCAGATCTCAGCTTCCTGAGTAGCTAGGATTACAGGTGTGAGCCACCAATACCCAGCTCATTGTGATTTGTATTTTGGTCTCATTTTTAAAACATAAAAATTAGATACATTTGAGGTCAGAAATATTTCAAGACTAGTGAGCAATGTGGTGGAATAATGGACTGCCAAATTATCACTATCATTTGCTTACGTTGTTTTGAACAGTGAATAAAACACTGAAAGAAAATTGGCATGGTCTCATCAGAATTGTAATCTGTTGTAATAGTTAACATCATTTCTAGTCCTTCAAACAACCATGTAAGACAGGTTTCAATATTCTTATTTTAATGGGATGTGCGAAGGATTATATAGCTATTAAGTGATAGAATCCAGATTTTAAATTCAAGAATATTTAATTCCTAATGTCACCCTAATTCCTAATGTCAGCATGTCTCATTTTCAATTAAAAATGATGTTTCCATTATACCTTATAAAAATGGTTTGTTGGGGCTGGGAAGGTGGCTCAGTGGTAGAGTGCTTGCCTTGCATGCATGAGGCCCTGGGTTCGATTCCTCAGCACCACATAACAAAAAGAAAAAAAGCCAGAAGTGGTACTATGGCTCAAGTGGTAGAGCGCTAGCCTTGAGCTGAAGAGCTGAGGGGCAGCACCCAGGCCCAGAGTTCAGGCCCATGACTGGAAACCTCCCTCCCCCCCCCAAAAAAAAAGGTTTGTTTTTTTATTTTGTTTTGGTGTTGTCTGATTTGGGGGAAAAATTTAACATAAATGGGTTGCTGTTATTTTTTTTTTTAATAGTCTCTTGTTTTGTTTTTGTGGTACTGAGATTTAAACTCAAGAGTCTCAAGCATGCAAGGCAGACACTATATCACTTGAGCCATACTTCCAGCCCTGCTTTTTGCTGATTATTTTTTAGCTATGACTTCATGAACTTTTCTGCCAAAGTTGACCTATAACTGTGAGCTTTTCCTCTCAATATCCAGAGTAGCTACTATTGTAGGCATATGTCACAATACCCAGCCTTATAAAAGTTTCTTAACATGCTTCTCACTTGATTGTTAAAATGATCCAGTGAGGTAAATAGGTAGGAGTAATTTGTTTATTTCTGTTTATTTATTTTACCATTACCAGGGCTTTAACTCAAAGTCTTATACTCTCTCTGGGCTTACTTGCTCATGGCTGGCACTTTACCACTTGAGCCATGCCTTCAGTCTAGTTTATGCTGGCTAATTGGAACTAGAGTCTTAAGGACTTTTCTGCTGCATCTGGTTTGGAACTATGATCTTCCAGATTTCGGGCTCCTGAGTAGCTGTGCTAAGAGGTGTGAGCCAGCAATTCCTGGCTTTAGAAAGTAGGCTTTTTTGTTTAATTTAGTGTAGTTTTGCTCATGTGGAATGATTTATTGATATATTTTAGAGAGTAAAATTCAACTAAGCATTTGTTCAATCAGGTCAACCAAATGGAACTGATTATTATTATGATTGGCATGGGAGGTTACTGAGGCCCTACTGCTGAGCCATGCCTCCAGTCCTAGCCTAGGACTGATTCTTTTCATTATTAGATGTTTATTCTTAGATCTTTTACAGAACTGAAAATCTTTATAGCCACTAGGTGAATAAAGGTGAAGTTTTAACATATATTTGTGTCTACTACATGAATGTCCAATGTATGAAAGAAACTATTCCATGCCACTTTAATGCAAGACAAAATAAAAAATTCTTGTTATTTTAGAACTGAAATTCTATAATATATAGCTTATACTAAACCAATATAGAAATGAAAACTATAATAAAATGAATAGTAATTATTTACATACATTATTAAAAGTGGCTATAAAACCCATTTCTTTAAAAAGTGACACTTAGCTTGTTGCTCAAGCCCATAATCACAGCTACTCAGGAGGCTGAAGATCATTGTTCAAAGCCAGCCTGGAAGTCCATAACACTGTCTCCAATTAACCAGAAGTGTGCCAGGACTGGAGGGGTGGATCAAGTGATAGAGCATTACTAGCATTGCGCAAAAGGCTGAGCAAGAGCTTTAGGCCTTGAATTCAAGCCCTAGTACTGCACACATACACATGCATGCACATGCAAAACACTTTTAAGTAATCATAGTGAATTATTGTTTGCCTATGTAAAAGATTGTATTTTTAGGTAATAGTCCTTCAGAAGTACTTTACATCTCACGAGCCCTTATTAGATTTTATTCAAAATCAAATTTTGCTTTGTTTAATTACATTCCTTCCATATGTATTTACCAAGTACTTACTAGTGCAAGGCATTTTCTGTGCATGATCCTCCTAATGTCTTTCAGAGTAGCTATATAACCTTTTGAGTGAAAAGTTAGGACTATTCCAATAGATTGTTACTAATCTTGATTCCTTTTAGTTGTAAGATTTTGAAGTTCATGATGGTCTCAGCATTCCTGAAGTGTAAATTTATCGCACTAAAGTCTGATGTGTACATCTTCTCACTTTTCTTCAGAATAACTTGAATGCACCTTAATTTTTAGATTTTTTTCCTCATATTTCTTTATATTGGACTATGATAACATTTCAGGAGTTTATGACAAATTGTAACTAGATTTAGCTGCTCTTTTAGTTCAGTGGAGCTTCCTGTACAATTAAGCATTTGGTAATTTGGTGCAATGGAAAGATGGAATAAAGGATAAAAGACTGAATCCATGAGAGACAAGTTTGTTAGTGGTAGAGTTTATACCATGAAGAATATTATTGGCACTGCATCTCTATCTTTGCTTTCTATACATCATCAATCATTCTAAGTGTTTCACACTTTATTTTCCAGTTTCTACATTTACCTACTTACCTACCTTATCCTTATGACTTTTTTTTTTTCCAGGACTAGAGATTGAACCCAGGGCATTGAGCTCAAGCATTCTACCATTTAGCTATACCCTAGCTCAGGCCTTGAGTTCAAGCCTCAGAACTGGCATCAAAAAAAAAAAAAAAGTATTTGTATTAGAATAGGGGATTTCCATCTGAAGTTAAGAATTACAGTAGTGGTTCTTAATAGGGGAACTCGCTTTCACCTACCCCAATAAATTTGGTAATATCTGGAAACATTTTTGTTTACAGCTGTAGAAGATATGCTATGATTATCTAGTGAATAAGACTAGGAATGTTTCCACATATTTTACAGTGTACATGATACCTAAACAATTAAGGAACCCAAAATTTTTGCAAGTAGTGTCAAGATTGAGAAGCAAATCCTAGATTGGAGTAATCAGCACATTGGATATGAAAGTCTCCCCCAAATTTATTAGTGATGAAGATATGACATTAGTACAGCTGACTTACCCTTTGAAAGGATCACTAATTTGGCAAATTAAAGCCTGTTTCATTCTGTTAATATTATGTACACCACCAGGTAACTTGCATGAGTTATGTTTTGACAATGTCTAGTGATTTACTCCAGTGATGGTATTATCTTCAACTATATTTGAAAGTATTTATGATATCCCACATTGCTCCAGGTATAATTGGTACAGGATAAATAATTTTAAATACTTGAATTATTCCAGAGAATCATTCATCAAGATCACATTGATTTGCAATTCATTGTTAAGACCAGTTTGTAGGAAGAATTTTTTCCCCCAGAGAGTTATTGCCTAGTTTGAGTTTCCCATGAGTTTCGGGATCTTTTGTTTTGTTTTGTTTTGTTTTTTGGCTTTCATGTGAAATATACTCTCAGCTTTGTTTTCTTTAAGACCTAAACATGTTTTGCCAAAGGGGAAGGGGAAAATCACTGTTTTCCAACAGATGTTTTATGTGTCATTTTTTTCAAGATTGAGAAAATCATTGGACCTCTATTACTGAACTTAAACTCTAAAGTCTCTTGAAATCATAATCCAAATCCAAAATTCTTAAAGATAGTGCCAGGCTTGGTGGGTTTGGACAAAATTGTTGCCATGTTCATTTTAAGTGTATCCTTTACATTTATCATGATGCCCGTTAGAGGGCAGCAGTGTACAAACACAGCATTCAGAAAACCTAGTACTGGATTTGGGGACATGAGTCTTTTCTGTATCTTTTAAAAACAATTGATCATAATTTTGCAAGTTTAATTCATGACCTGCATTTTATTGTAGAACTTCTGTGCAACTATAGGTATCCTGAACTTTGAAGTTTGTTGATGAAAAATGATTAGGTTATAACATATTCTATAGACACAATTCAAAGGTGGAAGTGGTACTGTGGCTCAAAGTGGTAGAGGGCTAGCCTTGAGCAAAGGAGCTCAGGGACAGCACCCAGGCCACAAGTTCAAGCCCCATGACTGACCAAAAAAATCCACAAGGTTTGCCGAATGGATAACTGGGTTTTAATCAAAGGGATTAAAGGTAACTTAAACCTAGCCAACTGCAGTGGCGTGCAATTGTAATCCCAGCTACTTGGGAGGAAGGGGTAGGAAGATGGCAGTATCAGTATTGATGTCCAAAATGGGCAAAGTTAGCAAAACCAAAAAAAAATACAAAAAAGGGTTCAAATAGTAGAATACTTGTCCAGTATTCATCAAGTCCTGAGTTCAAACCCTAACATTAACGGGAGCTGGTGGCTCATACCTTTAATCCTAGCTACTCAAGAGGCTGAGATCTGATGATCACAGTTTTAAGCCAGCCCAGGCAGGAAATTTAGTGAGACTCTATCGTCAGTTAATCACCAAAAAGCTGGAAGTGGAGCTATGGCTCAAGTGGCAGAATGCTAGCCTTTAAAAAAAAAGCCCAGAGACAACTCCCAGGCCCTGAGTTCAAACCCCAGGATGGGTGCCCGCGCATGTGCGCGCGCATGCGCGCGCGCGCGCGCGCGCGCACACACACACACACACACACACAGAGACTTTGAAGTTTTTCATATGAAAATAAAAAGTAAACCATTTTTAGAATGGAAAAGACAAATGGAAACAGATTTCAATATGAATAAAAATTAAGGGCTTCATTAATAACTTGAGTAATGTTATTTGTAATCCAACTAAGATGGAAAATGATCACTAAAGAGTTAAGTGTCAGAAAAGAGGCCTGAGGACAGTTCGAAATATCAAGGAAGTTACCGGGGAATAAGCAGACCCAGTGAGAAGACCTGACACACAAGTGAAGTAATGGTTCATGAAAGGAGAAGACAGGTGACTAGGTGTCTTACACTGCTCAAACATGAAAAAAATATAATAAAGGTGTGTGTATCATCTGTCTGATTTCCTCTGAACTCTTATGTCCTGCCTGATACCTACTATTTTTTTTTAAATTTCTATGGATATCTGCTGTTGTTTTTAACTTTGAAGTAATTTTACCTGTGTCTCATGTTACAGGAAAATCCAAACCCTCATATGGCATTCCAAAAAGTTCCACGCCCAACAGAAGGATCCCACTTGAGAGTTCATATTCTTCCTTTCCCAAAGATTAATGAAACTCGGGTTCAGGAATTGATACAAGAAAATCTTGTTAAGAATCAGAATGCCCCTCCTGCTACACGAGTCGAAAAGAAATGTGTTGTGCCAGCAGGTCCACCTGTCGGTATGTGTTGTGTGTATGTTTTTAGTAAACCTTTTATCAAGGTTTATTATCAAGGTTTAAATAGGATTCCAAAAGGAATGTATATATTATTTATTTTATTAATGTTTACAACATGAACAAATTAATAAAACTTGACTCAGAATACTAAGAAACTGTTCCATTCACCATGTCTCACAATGGGTAATGGTTACCTAACTACTACTATACACCACTATAAAATCCTCTGTTTCTTCAAACATTGAGATATAGTTCACACACCACAATATCTCCACTTAAAATGAACAATTCAGTAGATTTTGGTATATTCACAGTGGATTTAGTGTATTTAGTGTATTCAGTCATTATCACTATTCAGTTTGAGAACATTTTCATAAGCCCATATGAAATACTGTACCTAATAATAGTGATTTCCCATTTCCCTCCAAAACTACTTCCTCTCTAGCCTAAGTAGTAATTTACTTTTTGTCTTTATACATTGTCCTAATGTGACATTCATGTAAATAGAATTTTATACCATGTGGAATTTTCTTTTTTTTTTTTTTTTTGCTTATGTGGTGCTGACGAATTGAACCCAGGGCCTCAGGCATGCAAGGCAAGCGCTCTACCACTGAGCCACCTTCCCAGCCCCATGTGGCATTTTCTGACAAGCTTCTTAGTATAATACTTTCTAGATTTTTCAGTGTGGTAGCATATATCACTATATGATTGGCTTTTATGGATAAATAATATTCTATAGTAATTATATATCTTTTCATATGATATATAATATATACGTATATATAAATTACATTTTGTTATCCATTCCCCAGGTGGTAGACATTTGAGTTCTTCCTTCTGACTATTACAAATAATACTGCTGCAACCACTCATTTGTAATTCTGTGGAGAGAGATATTTTCAGTTCTCTTGGGTTCCATACCTAGGAGTAAAATTTTGAACTCTTATGGTAACCTGTGATTATTGATTTAAGAAACATTAACTGTTTTCCAAAGAAACTGTACCCTTTAATACTTCAACCAGCAATGGATAAAGGCAGGTATCCCCATAGTCACTGAAGATGCTTAGCATTTTTTCATATGCTCCTTGGATATTTCAATATCTTCTTTAGAAAATCTATTTTCCAAATTTTAGATTGTGCTATTTCTCCTTTTATTATTTGATTATTAGAATTCTTTATATGTGAAGAATTTCAACGAAATTTTATTCTCCAAAGTAAAATGTTCATTTTCAGTTCATAAACATACTCATGAAAACATATTCTTTTTGTTTGTTTTTTTATGGGTCCTGGGGCTTGAACTCAGGGCCTGGGCACTGTCCCTGAGCTGTTGTGCTCAAGGCTAGCATTATACCACGTAAGCTACAGCTCCACTTCATGTTTTTTGTTATTGTTGTTGTGTTGTTGTTAGCTTAATAGAGATAAGAGTCTTGCTGACTTTCCTGTCCTGGCTGGCTTCAAACTCAGCCTCTTAAGTAGCTAGGCTTACAAGCGTAAGCTACCAACCTGGCAAAAATATATTCTTTATATATTGTATGTGCAATTCTCTTATCAGATATATGATTTTTCATATATGCTCTTTCATTTGTGAGATCCCTTTCCTGATTTTTTATCTTTTTCTAATACTTGAGAGTGATGTGTTAAAACTTAGCGTTGTCTGTTTCCCTTTTTAGTTCTTTTTTCATATTTTGAAGTTGATTTAGTAGATGCATATATATTTATGTGTTATAGCATCCTACTTATTGATCTCTTTGTTATGAAATTTGGATGAAATTTGTATTCTCTAAAGTAAAATGTTAATTTCCAGATTGTCAACATACTCATGAGAAAATACATGTTCTCTAATATGTCAGACCAAAGAAAATTTATGATATTGCTAAAGAGACTTCAAACTTAAAGTTTCTAAACGTAATGATGCTGATCTTTCAATAAAGTATATTTGGAGACGACAAGAAGTTTTTGACTGTAATATGGATAGATTTCTATTTCACGCTATACCACTGACCTACATGTGCCAGCAGTACCAGAACCATCAATTAAGAATGAGAATTTCAGAAAGAAAAGTCATGTTAAATAATTGGCTTAATTATCATGGTCATGCAGAAAATTAATGATACATGATTAAAAATGATTTAAAGAGAACTACTAAAATCTATAAGGGCTGTACTCTAGTTCATTACTTTGTGCCCAATAGGTTTCCTGGTTCTGAAGCACTGTAGTTAGTAAGATGTCATCATGAGAGGAGCTAGTTAGTGAGCCTCTCTGGGCTGTGCTCATGTGACCCTATAATTATTTCAAGATAAAAAGAAAAATACCCAGGTGTCAGTGGCCTGTAATCCTAGCTACTCAGGAGGCTGAGACCCGAGGATCACTATTCAAAGCCAGCTTGGGCAGGAAAAGTCCGAGAGACTCTTTATCTCCAGTAAAGCACCAGAATACTGGAAGTGGCGCTGTGGCTAACGTGGTAGAGCGCTCTCTTTGAGCTCGAGAGACTCTTTATCTCCAGTAAAGCACCAGAATACTGGAAGTGGCGCTGTGGCTAACGTGGTAGAGCGCTCTCTTTGAGCTGAAGAGCTGAGGGACAGCATCCAGGCCCAGAGTTCAAGCCCCATGACCGACAAAAAAAAAAAATTTTAGGGGCTGGGAAGGTGGCTGAGTGCTTGCCTTACATGCATGAGGCCCTGGGTTCAATTCCTCAGCACCACATAAGCAGAAAAAGCTGGAAGTAGCACTGTATGTAGCTCTAGTGGCAGAGCTCTAGCCTTGAGCTGAAGAGCTGAGGGATAGCGCCCAGGCCCAGAGTTCAGGCCCCATGACTGATCAAAAGAAAAAAAAAAATTTAAAGCATTACTTGAGGAATACAAGATTTGTATTCATAAAATCAAAAATGCTAATGAATTAAATATAATTGTCTTTTTAGGTATGTAGGGAGGTAAAATACTGTGGCTTTAGATTCCATACAACAGCCATAAAATATAACCAGTCTTTCTTTTTGGCTTAAGAATAATAGATACTGGGGCTGGGAAGGTGGCTCAGTGGTAGAGCGCTTGCCTTGCATGCCTGAGGCCCTGGGTTCGATTCCTCAGCACCACATAAGCAAAAAGAAAAAAGCTGGAAGTGGTGCTGTGGCTCAAGTGGTAGAGCGCTAGCCTTGAGCTGAAGAGCTGAGGGACAGCACCCAGGCCCAGAGTTCAGGCCCCACGACCGGACCAAAAAAAAAAAAAAAAGAATAATAGATACTACCTTATTTGTACTAAGGATATAATATTAATGTAGTTCTTCTTTGTGAAAATATGCTTTATTTGTCTTTATAAATACTATTTTGGGGCTGGGAAGGTGGCTCAATGGTAGAGGGCTTGCCTTGCAGGCATGAGGGTTCAATTCCTCAGCACCACATAAGCAGAAAAAGCCATAAGTGGCACTGTGGCTTAATTGGTAGTGTGCTAGCCTTGAGCTAAAGAGCTGAGGAACAGTGCCCAGGCCCAGAGTTCAGGCCCCTGGCTGACAAAAGTAAATAAATAGATAAATAAATAATATATAAATACTATTTTGGTTTATAGCCTAATGTTCTTTAAATCCGTTTAGGTAACATTAGCTATATAATAGACTAGATATCCCAACTTTACATACAAGGTAAAAGTCCATAGGAATCAAAAGAAACTACACAGTGGCCTTACTAAGCCGTTAGAGCAATTCACGAGCCACAGTAATTTCTTTCTTTCTTTTTTTCTTTCTTTCTTGTATCCCAGCCCCTTTGAGTCATCCCAGTCCCTTTCAGTCATGTATTTTTCCTTTAGTAATATAATTACCAACTTCCTTTTCTGTTGATTGTCGTCTTGCATATAGACATTAGCTGTCTTGGTTGTGATCGTGTACCCCACATATTTCCTATCACATCAGTTTGCTTGCAGTTAAAATGTAAAATAAATACTTTTGTTTAATAAAATTTTACTTTGCAATATGAGTTTACTTGCATGAGTTAATAGTATCATTAGAATCTACTCTATGAAATTATCTACTGACACTTCAAACCTGAAAATACAATCAAAATAACGAAATTGAATGTTTTCAGTGCAATGGAACAAGGGAAATGATAAAGACTAAGTGTTGGTCATGTCGGTGGTTTTAAAGTAATACTCCCTTACTTTTGTCTTTTTAATGCATTTGTGTTTTCTTTATATTCCCTTGTCAGTTTCAATAATGGATAAAGTGACAACAGTTTTCAACAGTGCACAGAGACTAGAAGTTGTTAGAAACTGCATTTCATTCATATTTGAAAATAAAACTTTGGAGACTGAAAAGGTAATAAAATGCTATTTTTCCGCAAGTTAGCATTTATGATTGCCCTTTCAGATTTACATGTTGAAGTTGCCAGCTGGCCTCTCTTCTAATTCTTCCACTTTTCCTTTATGAAATGTTCTTTCATTATTTCAGTCCTTCTAAATGAATAATATCTAAGATTTAAAACTGTAGCCTAAACCTAGTTACAGTTACATGGCTCCAAGAATAATACTGGTAATTTTTTTCTTCAAACCTTTAATCATTGTTCTTTAAACCTTATTTTGACATAGTACATACAATACTACATATTACATTTTAAATATAATTTTATTCATCGAAAAGAATCTAGTTAGATTGCATAATGGATTATGCCTCTTTGAATTTTCTTCCTAATGAAACATGCTAAACATGTGTAACATTTTTCTTAGTGACTGATGGTCATAGTTGTGTATTACATGGGGTTGCTAAAGCATATTCAAATGTTTACCCTTATGCTAAGTGACCCCTCACCACTTTAGGTTGGAAAGGTTTTTTGGGTGTTTTTGGTGGGGGGAAGGTAGTACGTATTTTGGTTCTGTATTTTAAGGTTAAAAACGTAGATTTTCTTACCCAACTGCGTTCTTGCTCACTCTGTCTCTCTCTGCCTCTCTCTGCCCCCCTCTGCCCCCCCCCTCTCTCTCTCTACACACACACACACACACACACACACACACACACACACACACACACACACACACACACACACACACACACACACACACACACACACACACACACACACACACACTTCTTGGCAGTACTCAAGTTTGAACCCACCTTATAGCCTTATACTTGCTAAGTATACTAGGAAACACTTGAGCCATGCCCAAGCAATTATTTTACAGCTCTTGCTTTCTTTTGCATGCTTTATATAACATATTCTCCTACTCAAATATTATTTGCTCCTTTGTTCTCTCTGGTCTCTCTTTTAGGTCTCCACATTAAGTAAACTTATTACTACTATATGTAAATTAGCTAGCCTTATATAATTAACTGAGAAGGCATTATTAGTGTTTTTGTAATGAGTGAAAAGTTTCACTACATACATGTAGAAATACCTATATTGCCTTGAGTTCTTTATGACTTTGAAAAGAAGAGACCAGATTATAGAATTTTCCATTCATATCTTAAAACTGAATAATAATAAAGTAGTTGACTACTTTAAAATTATTAAATCACTTGTATTTTTGTTACCTAATTTTTCCATTTACTTTCACCATGGAAACTTGATCAGTTATACAAAGAAGATGTTTGACTGTGGCTTTTGAGTCAGGAGCTGAAACAACAGTTTGGCAAATCAAGTTGTGTTAAATCTAAGAAAAAGAATTTAGTGTTTTCAAATTTACCATATAAGCTACTTCTAATTTCCCTTGCTGGTTTAGAAATTTTAAAATTCTACAAATTTACCTACTTTATTATTGGTCTTAACAGCAAATCACTTCTTTCCTAGAAGCTTAATTCTGCCAATTCCTTTGGAACAAATGCATTTGAATTTTCAGTATGATGTTTTTGCAGTAGTACCCTGTGGTCACTTGTAACTCTCTTGTTCTCAGACTCTTCCTGCTGCACTGAGAGCCCTTAAAGGAAAGGCAGCAAGACAGTGTCTTACTGATGAACTGGGCTTACATGTACAGCAAAATCGGGCAATATTGGATCATCAACAATTTGACTACATAATAAGGATGATGAATTGTACTCTGCAGGTAATTTTTTAGTCCATTCAGATTATTCTTTTCATTTCAGAATACTTTGTTTTGGAGACTGGTAATTACTGATATATCAAGTTCTTGAAGCTACCACAGCTGAAAAGATGAAAAGCCAATATCTTTACCATTTCTGTCAGAAACATTTATTCATAACTTGACACAAATATTGATCTTTCTGTTACTTATTTTCTCTTGAAAATACTAGATCGTTTTACTGATTTTGTAATATAAACAGTCTCTTTGAAACGTCACCTTTCAAACATTGATATGAATGATTTCATATCAGTTTTTAGTTGTATTATTAAAGCAAAGGGAAGTGAATAATGGCTAATCAAAATATTAAATATCAAATTATTTATGAAACACTTTGTATATGTAAAGCATGGGAAAACTTTTCAAGCTGGGCACATTACAGCTCATGCCTATAGTCTTATCTACTCAGGAGGCTGAGATCTGAGGATAACAATTCAAAGCACTCAGATGAGGAAAGTCCATGAGACTCTTAGCTTAAATTAACCATCAAAAGGCCAGAATTGGGAAGTTATAGCTCAAGAGATAGAGATCCAGCATTAAGCAAAAAAGCTAAGACACAGTGCCCAGGCCCAGAGTTCAGGCCCCGGTATTGGCACCCAAAAAAGAAAAAGAAAAAATTTGCATTGAACTTCAAAATAGTTGTATGATCTTACAGAGATAATCTTCCCAACAAATAGTGAAGATTGGAATTAGAAGGAGCAAATTAGGCTAGATTTCTTGTTTTATAGTCTATAATATTGGCATCTTGCTCTCTATAGATGATGTAAAAATACCTTTTCCCAGGAGAAAATATTATTACATACTGTGAATTCAAAAATATGTATTCAAACCAGGTGCTAGTGGCTCATACTTGTAATCCTAGCTCTCAGGAGGCAAAGATCTGAGGATTATGGTTTGAGGCCACTTCTGACAGGAAAATCTGTGAGATTCTTTTTTTTTTTTTGTCGGCCGTGGGACTTAAACTCTGGGCCTGGGTGCTGTCCCTCAGCTCTTCAGCTCAAGGCGAGCTCTCTACCACGTGAGCTACAGCGCCACTTCCGGTTTTCTGGTGGTTTTATTGGAGATAGGAGTCTCATGGTCTCTCCTGCCCGGGCTGGCTTTGAACCGCGATCCTCAGATCTCAGCCTCCTGAGTAGCTAGGATTACAGGCGTGAGCCACCAGCGCCCGGCTTGTGAGATTCTTATCTTCAGTTAACCACCAAAAAGATAGAAGTGGAGTTTTAGATCAGTAGGTAGAATGCTAGCCTTGTGCCAAAAAAAGTTCAAGAACAGTGCCGAAGTGATGAGTTCAAGTCCCAAGACTGCCCTCCTCCCTGCAAAAACTTACCTATGAAAGAAGGTATAGATAAATGTGTTCAAGGATTGACCTTTTTATAATAAAAATATCAGTTCTTCTCAAAGGAATTTATAGAGTTATTAAAGTTTCTATCAGAATCCCAAATAGAACATCAAAAACACTTTATCATTACCAACATAGTCATAAAGAAAGCACAGGAATTTGTCTTGTCTGAATGTCTAAAAATAGCTTAAGATTATAGTGCTTAGGACAATATGGAATTTGTACAATTGTATTCAAATTGAACAATAGAACAGAATTGAGGGTCAAAAAGAAATGCATGCATATATGGAAATATGATGGGCAGGAAAATAACTTGTCTAACATAATGATGAGCAAATCAGTAAATAATGGTGATTCACGTTTGGGTGACTCCATATACATAACACAACAGATATACACATTACTCACACTATAGACAAGTGAATTCCACATGGATCAAAGCCTTAACTATTACAAAGCCAAACAAAAACAAAAACTGACCATACAGCCTAAAATGTTTCAGACACAATTCAGGAAGTATGCTTATGACTTTAGGATAGAGAAAGACTTGGTACAAGTAACCAAGTGACAGTCTTAAAAACATAATTTTAAAAAAAAATTTTATTATGAAAATACTGTACAGAGGAGTTACAATTACATGGGCAAGATAACGAGTACATTTCTTATCAAGCATTATTGCTGCCTCCTTTGTTTCCCCTTCCTATCCCTTCCCATATCCCGCCCCCCCTCGCCCCCTCTCCCCCCGCCAAAGTTGTAAAGTTCGTTTTTCGACATAAGGACTTGTACATCTCATTGTTGCAATGTGTCCACCTGTATCCCTATTTAAAAATTTTGTTTTTTCCCTTCCCCTCCACAAATTATAACAACATCAAATACAGTGAAAGCAAGGGTTATACTGTGGGGGAGGGACATACAAAGCAACAAAGAAATCATTTTATAAATATGTTAGAAACAATCGCATGAAAGTAAAAAACATTTGAATACTTATCTTGGGGTTCATTTCACCTAACATCAGCATATCTGACCTTTTCTGCTTGTCTCAGACATATACTGGTTATTAAAAATAAGGGAACCCATGGGGCCTATGTTTCTTTGGGCCTGGCATACCTAGTATAATTTTTTCCAAGGCTTTCCACTTCATAACAAATGGGGCATTGTCATTCTTTCTGATGGAGGCATAGAATTCCATTGTGTATATATACCACATTTTCTTGATCCATTCATCTACTGAGGGGCATCTGGGTTGGTTCCATATCTTAGCTATGGTAAATAAGGCTGCAGTAAACATAGTTGTGCTGGTAGCTTTAGTATGGTTTTGTTTGTGATCATTTGGGTAAATACCCAAAAATTGGATTGCTGGGTCATAGGGAAGCTCTATGTGGAGTCTTTTGAGGAACCTCCATACTGCTTTCCAAAGTGGTTGAACAAGTTTACACTCCCACCAACAATGCAGTAGGGTACCCTTCTGTCCATATCCCCTCCAGCAGCTGTTGTTATTAGAGTTCTTGATTATAGCCATTCTAACTGGGGTGAGGTGGTATCTCAATGTTGTTTTGATTTGCATTTCTTTTATGGCTAGAGAGGTTAAGCATTTCTTCATGTGTCTATTGGCCATCCTTCTTTCCTCTTCAGAGAAGTTTCTCTTTAAGACTTTAGCTCACTTATTATATTGGGCAGTTGTTTCTTTGAGGATTTGTTGTTAGGGGATTTAATTTTTTGAGTTCCAGGTATATTTTAGATATGAGACCCTTGTCCTTTGTATGGCTAGTGAAGATCTTCTCCCAATCCATGGGCTTTCTATTGATCTTGCTAGCTATGTCCTTTGCCATGTAGAAGATCTGCAATTTCATGCAATCCCATTTGTCCAACATTTCTTTGATTTGTTGTGTTTCTGGGTGTCTATTAAGAAAATTTTGGCCTGTGCCAAGGAGTCCTAGGGTTTCTCCTATTCCATCCTGTAATGTTTTCAGAGTGTCTGTTTTAAGTCTGAGGTCTTTGGTGCAGAGTGATATATAAGGTTCTAGCTTTAGTTTTCTACAAGTTGTTAACCAATTTTGCCAGCACCATTTACTGAAGAGGCTATCTTTCTTCCGTTCTATTTTTTTAGCTCCCTTATCGAAGATTAGATGGCTATAGATCTGTGAGTTCATTTCTGGGCTTTCAATTCTATTCCATTGGTCTTGAGGTCTGTTCTTGTGCCAGTACCAAGCTGTTTTGATTACTATGGCTTTGTAGTAGTTTGAAATTTGGTATTGATATTCCTCCAGCACTGTTCTTTCTGTTAAGGATCTTTTTTGCTATTCGGGGTCTTTTATTGTTCCATATGAATTTTTGGATTGCCTCTTCTATTTCCTTGAAGAATGAGGTTGGAATATTGATAGGTATCGCATTGACTTTGTAGATAGCCTTGGGAAGTATTGCCATTTTTACGATGTTGATCCTTCCAATCCAGGAGCATGGGAGGTTTTTCCACTTTCTAAGTTCTGTTTTGATTTCCTTTTTCAGGTTTTTAAAGTTTTCATCATAGAGTTCCTTCACTTCTTTGGTTAAGTTAATTCCTAGGTATTTTATTTTTTGTGGGGCTATTACGAATGGAGTTGCTTTCCTAATTTCAGCCACGCTTTTCTCATTATTGGCATACAAAAAAGCCATTCATTTTTGAGGGTTAATTTTATACCCTGCTACTTTGCCAAAAAACTGATAAATTTTGTCAATATTAAAATTAAGAACTTCCGTGTATATATGTTTTTCTTTTTTTCCTTTCTTTTTCTTTTCTTTTCTTTTCTTTTTGTTTTTGTTTTTAGTATCTCATGGAGACATCTGTAATCCTAGCTACTCAGGAGGCTAAGATCTGAGGATATGGGTTCAAAGACAACCGAGGCAGGAGAGTTTATAAAATTCTTATCTCCAATTAATTGCAAAACTCAGAAGTAGAGTTGTGGCTCAAGTAGTAGAGTGCTAGCCTTGAGCTCAGCAACAGTGTTCAGACCCAGAGTTCAAGCCCCAGGGTTAGCAAAAGAAAAAGGTATCTCATCCAGAGAGTTCTGAGTATGGTAAGACATGAGAATATGCCTTCAAACCCAGTTTGGGGATGCTAAGACAGGAGGATCCTGAGTTCAAGGCCAGCCTCAAGTACATAGTGACACCCTGTCTTTAAAAAAAATACAAGGGCTGGGAAAGTGTCTCAGTGGTAGAGTGCTTGCTTTGCATGCATGAGGCGCTGGGTTTGATTCCGCAGTACCACATAAGCAGAAAAAGCCAGAAGTGGCACTGTGGCTCAGGTGGTAGAGCACTAGCTTTGAGCTGAAGAACTTAGGGACACCGCCCAGGCCCAGAGTTTAGGTCCCACAACGGACAGAAAAACAAACAAACAAGCTGGACACTGGTGGCTCACAGCTGTAATCCTAGTGACTCAGGAGGCTGAGATCTGAGGATCAAGGTTCAAAGCCAGCTTGGGCAGGAAAGTCCAGGAGACTTTTATCTCCAATTAACCACTAGAAAACCGGAAATGGCATTGAGGCTCAAGTGGTAGAGCAATCACCTTGAGCTGAAGAGTTCAGGGACAGGCCCAGAGTTCAAGCCCTATGACCAACAAAAAAATAAAAATAATACAAGCAGATTTGTA